TTCTATTAGGAACTAAAGATGCTGAGTTAGTATTACAAGAGTGAGAAAGTTTGCATGGAGTAGATAATTTTAATGTTGATGCTAAAAATGTGTATTATAGGAAAAGTAGTTACAAGCTGCATTTTGTGATCACTCACAGAGGCTTCTTTAAAACTTGTTAAATGATGTTTAGCACACTAATAAGGATTTATTCTCAAAAGAAGTTACACTGAAGACAATATTGCAAAGTGGTTTATAGCAAGGGAGATAGAAATGACTTGAGCTCAAATCTCAGTTCTATGATTTAGTGACTCTTCAGTCTCCCTGATCCTCAGCCTTCCCACTCTGCCAGCCTTGAACCTCACTCTGAGAGGGCAAGTGTCTCTATGTCTGCCAGCTGATCTCCACTTCAGTTTTCATTGTTAGTCCTCTCACTGCCCTCATCTGTAAAACGGGGATTGTCATACCTAGAGTTGTTCAATGATTGATCATGTAATCAAACAGCTTCTTATATTTGTGGGAACATAACCAACACAAATAGTAATTATTATTACTATTAATTTTAATAAATAGACTTGAATATCATATATTGGATCTATATCTGACCTTTGGAAACTAGGTCATTTTTCTTATACGATTCTTACTATTAAATGCAGATTATAGAAAACAGCACATTATTGAAACTCTCCATATTATCAACATTGTAAACACAAAAAAGTTTGGAAAAGGTATTCATTCAAAAAACCAATCTTAAACTCAATAAAACAGATTGTTTTTCTGCATATATACTAATTCTAGGTCAACAATCATACAAGTTACTGAATCTAGATACATTTTGAGGAAATTTCTCAGTAAAAGTTTTAGATTTCTCTTTGTCTTATGTCTGTTTTGCTTCAATTCATATTAGATAAATTGCTTCTCAGTCTAGCCATTACACCTGATCCTTCTGACACTCTTTCTCTGTGACCTCTGCCTAAGAACTATGACATGTAAGATTATAACTTGTCTTCTATGGAAATATGATCATTTGTGGGGAAAATCATGAATTATAAAAATTTAGACTTGGGGGGAGTCTTCTCCCTTCCATATCAGCCACTCCTAATGTCCTTCCCTGAAACCTGCACTGTGAGTTTTCCCCACAGCATCACTGTGCAGTGATCAGTTGCTCCTTACTGCAGTGTTCACTAATAATCACCAGAGGAGTTGTTCTCTACTGAAGCTTTTGAATGTGGCGGAGACTCTTGAATGTTTAAAATTTTTTAAAAAATCAAGACCTATTTTAAATAAAAAAGAAATATCTGATTGTGTGCTATGGGCCTCTTACAAACAGTAGGGGATATAATAAGATTGTGGACAGGGTTTTTTGCAGGTGCTCTTAAATGTCCCCAATAGCTAGCTCTCACATAATCAATATTGTATTTATTATATTTTACTGTATGAAAATAATTTGACATATGACATTTCATGTGATTCTTACACCAACTGAGTATACTAATTAGGGAAATATTATCATAATCTAACACATAGAAAATTAAAATATAATGCACTGAAGGTATTTCCTAAATTTATCTTAGTGACTGATTCTGAGAAGACTAAAAATGGTTTACTCTATTATTTTAGTCATCTGTGACTCTTTTCTTTTTATCATAATCCTATAAAACCTACCATCAAAGTATTGCCAAAACCTGAGCCTTCTGTTTGCCTCCACTGCTAACATCCTAATCCAAGTCACCATAATTTTTCATCCAAATCATGTACTATCCTCCCAACTGGCTTTTCTGCTTCTGCTATGATTCCTTTTCTCAACAGAGCAGCCCAAATCGTCCTTTTAAAGGTGCTGGGCAAGTCGGGTCATGTCACTGATTTACTCAGCAGCTTCCAGTGGCTTCCCATTTGGGCTCAGAGTCGAGTATAATGTCCCTATGATGGCATGCACATTCTGGGTGCTCTATTTGGTTGACAGGCTTTGCACTGTGTATCTGTGCACCAGGCTGAACCAGCTAATAGAGGTTAAAATCACTTTATCAAACTATGTTTTCTGGTGCATGACTAATATGTTCCTTTTTCTTATTTAAAATAAAAAAATTAAAGTTTTGTGGGTAGATATTTATGGGGTACATAGATGTTTTGATATAGGCATGCAATGTGAAACAAGCACATCATGGGGAATGAATAGGATATTCATCCACTCAAGCATTTATCTTTTGAGTTCCAAACAATGCAATTGTTGTGCACCTTTTTCTAAGTCTCACAGAGTTGCCATATGGGCCAGCAGAAGTCCTTCACTCAGCCACCTATAATCTTTCAGACCTTACCTCATCATTGATGCCCATCCCAAACCTACTCAATGCCCATCACTCTGGCCTAGCCACAGTGACCTCCCTGTTCTGCCCTGAACATACCAACACTCAGGCATCACATGAGCAGCACCCTTTGACTATACATGTGTAGGAGAAGATGTGATGGGAATTTTTATAATTTTTTATCAACGTTGTCATTTCCTCAGACCCACATGCAAAGTTTATCACTGCTCAACAGTGGCTAAGTAGCCTACAGTTTCTAGAGGAAAAGAAACCTGTAGGAAGACATGTCCAGAGAGACTAAGGTGGTCTCAGTGCAGACTCACTGACAGGGAAAGGCAAGGCAGCTACTAAAATAAAATGATGTTGAAGTTAATAAAAAGGACTTGTTCTAGTATATCCTTCAAGACTCAACCACTTTGGGATTGTACCATGTTTTGGAAAAAGAAAATGACTGAATACGTGGGTGTAACCTAATGCAACTGATAATCCCTGGAGCCCCAGCATACACTATTACGACCTTTGTAAGAACCTGAGTCAACAAGAGGTTCACTGCAGAATGTACAAAGTCCACAGAGCTGTGCAAGAATCAACTTCAACAGCAGGACCATGTGGCAGCATTATATAATCTCAGTAGAGGCTAATTAAATTTTCCACATGTAGCTATGGAAAGTAATCAGAGAAGGGAAATAGGAATACATCCTGTTTCACTGAAAAAAATAAAAATAATTTACTTGCAAAAGCTATAGTGATTTATGCCTGGCCTTTATCAGCAAGTTCTATTAAAGACTTTGCTACTCATTGTTTAAGAGATTCTTAGGCTCACACCAGTTAGAATGGCAATCATTAAAAATTCTGGAGACAACAGATGCTGGAGAATATGTGGAGAAATAGGAACACTTTTACACTGTTGGTGGGAGTGTAAATTAGTTCAACCATTGTGGAAGACAGTGTGGCGATTCCTCAAGGACCTAGAAATACAAATTCCATTTGACCCAGCAATCCCATTACTGTGTATATATTCAAAGGATTATAAATCTCTCTATTATAAGGACACACGCACATGAATGTTCATTGCAGCACTGTTTACAATAGCAAAGACTTGGAACCAACCCAAATGCCCATCGATGATAGACTGGACAGTGAAAATGTGCCACATATACACCATGGAATACTATGCAGCCATAAAAATGATGAGTTGTGTCCTTCGTAGGAACATGGATGAACCTGGAAACCGTCATTCTCAGCAAACTGACACAAGAACAGAAAATCAAACACAGCACGTTCTCACTCATAGGCAGGTGTTGAACAGTGAGAACACATGGACACAGGGAGGGGAGCATCACACACTGAGGTCTGTTGGGAACTGGGAGAGGGACAGTGGGGATGGGGAGTTGGGGAGGGATAACATGGAGAGAAATACCAGATATAGGTGATGGGGAGGAAGGCAGCAAACCACACTGCCATGTATGTAGCTATGTAACAATCATGCATGTTCTTCACATGTACCCCAAAACCTAAAACATAACTATATATATATATATAGAAATTCTTAGGCCCCTAAGAGGTACAATTATTGCATAGACTCAGAAAGCATGTGTTCCTGAAGCTATACACACACACACACACACACACAGACTATATATAATGCAAAAGAAGTTGATATCTACATCTGCTTCTTGGTATAAGAAAGACTTTTTTTAAGATTGTGGAGAATATATGCATAAGTTTGCATTTTCAAGGAATTAACGGTTTTCTGGAAGCCCTACTATAAATTCTGTGATGTCCACTAATACATACTATCTCCTTCCCTCTGGATATTTTTATGTTGGGCTCAAAGCAAGAGAATACTAGAAAGGCACGAGGAATTGATAGCTTAAGGTAGGTTTTCCTGGTGTCAGCTGATAACCAGAAGGACTGGCAAACAAAATCCTCAGTTAAAGTGTAAAAAAGGTCTTTGGGAAAGGTATGCATTTCTGATTTATACTCCCAAATCAACCAAAATTAATGAAATAAAATTTTATTTTTATTGAAACAGGTGGAGAACTCTAAAGCACAGACCCCAAAGAACACCTGCTGGACATAACAAGGTTGAAAGAAGTTTCACAGGATGGTTGTAACTGGGCCACATATTTTTCTATCTAGAGAATATTGCAGCACAGGAAAAGAGAGACAATATATTTATGAATAATCGATTATGATACTCAAGTGGAATCAAATGAAGAACAAAAAAACTGTACTTGTGGTATCTTTCCCTGCTGCTGAACAGGAATGACAGCAGGACTGAAGCAGAAACAGCATGGTCAGTCACATTTTTATTGACTTAGCTTTTTTTTTTTTTTTTAAATATGACAAGCCTTATTTTTTACTTCAAATGGACATTTCTGCCTCCCTCAAATTGTATCAAAATCTTAAGGGAATACCTAGGTAATTGGAATATACACAATGCTCTATACAATCAAGAGGCCAGGCTTAATCATATTCCATAACGAGGACAAGGCAAATTATTTCTTTAAAACATCCATTTTCTTATTGGAAGTGGTAGGAAAAGCAGCAATCTATTTTTTTTTTAAATAGTAGACGTGGTCTTCTACCCATAAGCTCCACTATATTAAAAGAGCGAAGTGGGCTTAACATCTCACTTAAGATAATTCAGCATTACCAGTTTTAAAAGAAATAAAAATACCTTAGGAACAAATCAGTCTGTTTTAACAAACTGTATTCATGCTAATGAAATTTTAATCTTCTTTGTCATGGCCAAAATCCAAATTGTAGGGCAATCTTGAGAAAAGATGGAATGTGAAATCTTGAGTTCAGTTTAGATGTCGTCAATATCTTCATCATCATCTCCAATGTCATCGAACTGAATTTCATCATCATCTCCCGGACCAAATGTATCCGTTTCATTGACTTTAGCATGCTCTGGAAGCTCGCCATATGCCTTCAGACTTCTGGCTTCGTCTGCATTGTATTTTAAAATTACATCCGCTTTGTTATCCTGGTAGTCTCGGAGACCAACCAATATTATGTCGGAGGTATTTATCCAAACCTTTTTTCTCAATTTTCCTCTGATGTGACATAACCTCTTTACACCATCGAAACACATTGCTTCTAGCCGTCCATTTCCCAACATTTTGATCACCTGGGCATACTCTTGACCGTCTTCTTTGAATACTAGTTCTCTTTTTTCCGATTCATTCTCATTCTTACCTCTACGTCTGTTTTTACCTCCTTTACCTTTATTCTTGGGCATGGCGGTGGCAGCGACCTCGCAGCGTCTCTAACTTCTTTCCGGGTGGCGGCGGTCGCTGCTCCGAAGGGCGACACGAGAGAGAGCGCAGGATGAAGCAGGTGCTGGAGGCCAGGCAGCGTGCGCGGGAGAAGCTCGCGACCTAGGTCTTAACCGCCAGCGTCCACGCTCAGCAACAGCAAATGGCGTCGTCCGACTTAGCTTTTCAACATCGAAGGGAATAGTGAAAGTTAAGTTTTGGAGAAGAAAAGAGATGTGAAACAATATCCTGGAACCAGCCTCTTAATTGTAGAAGACCAATATCATCTGAAGAAAACAAAACGTCTGACTTCCCAAAGGAAAATTCTGTGGGTTTATAATTTACACTAGGAGTCTTGCTAATTTTTTCTGCTGAAATCAAAGCATAAAACAGATCAAATTCTCCTGAGGGTCTCCGTTCCCATCATGAACTAGAACATACTGGTGGTTTAGAAGGACCAGGGGTTTAAAGAGATTTAGAGGGAGGAACACAGGGACCAAATTTTAAGACTAATGGTGGTCATGACCCCAGCTTCCATTCTACTCTCCTCCAGCTTCCCAAGGCTTAACACAGACTAGAGAAATTCAACGTTCTAAATTTTCACCTCAATTTTGAGGTGAAAAATTATAAAAGATCAGATAAAGGCATGACAGAGTCCAACAGTTTCTACTTATCCGCTTTTGGCACAAGTAAGACACTCATGTAGGACTTTACCTAAAAAATAACTGACAGAGAAAAAACCAGTCATGTTATCTGTGAAAAATTCTGCAACCACAAAGTAAGGAGAATATGGCAAGCAAAAGACCGTCAAAACACACAGCTGGGAAAAATTTCCTCCAAGATATTGAAGAATATTTCATGTTCAATGCTTTAAAAAGGAGAACAAAATCAAACTGCAGAAAACCAAAAGAAGAAAATGCAAAATGAAATATCAGTTTTTAAAAACATAGACAAGAGCAAAGTGTGAGAAGATGCCAGTTATGAAAATAATAATGGAGACTCAGAAGCATAATTGGTGTGCCTCATGAAGAAAACAGGACAGTAAAATAAAAATATTCAGAAATGTAACCGAAGAGAAATTTTGTGAAATTTTTAAAAACATGGGTTTTCAGTTATAAAGGGCAAACTGTGTCCTGAAGATAATTTCTGTCGAATCCTGCATCCAAATGCCGTAGGGGAATACCTACTGATCATGCAAGACACAGTCTCTTAAATAGTAAGGGAGGGTACCACCTTGGCAGAGTCTCAAATGTAAAAGGTTAAGAAAAGACGCTTACAGTATTCAGTAGGCTTGGATATGACCTAAGATAATTTTAGGGCATAAGAAAGTAAGCAAGACCTGAATAGAGAGTGGACAAAATTCATGAACTAGGCAAGTTGCTGGACTGTCAATTGCCTAATCTCCAGAACACGAGTGGTGAACTATTACCGCTAGTTCAGTTTGAGGTCTTCTCTTGCAGCCTATGCGTCTGAGTGAGGTTATAATAAAACCACTCAAGCTTAGTTTGTGTTGCATATTAATGTTTGGTTGATTTAGTACGTCTTGAACATCAGTGTTTTCCATTTCATTTATCTATATAAAGGAAAAAGATGCACATTAAGATAAAAACTAATGACTTTTTCTTATTCAAATGTTTTATTCAGGAAAGGAGCTTGAAGGCATCTGTAAAGAAGAAATATGTCACCTATAAAGTGGGAAAAGGTGCAGTAATCTTGGAATATTAGATGCCATTATAAGTGGAGCAGTGTGTAATTATTTGGAAGGAGAAGAAAGTATAATTCAGTAACGTCTATGCCCAGTCAAGCTGTCATTCATGAGATTAAGTTTGTGAGTCAAGACAACAAAAAGACATTTTAAATATACAACAATTCATGAATTATACAACTTAAGTGTGCTTCCTAAAAGTCGTTGTGTCTTATATACCAAACGATTGAAAAATAAACAAAAATAAAGAACTCCTATAGAGAGGTTATGAAATGATAGGAGAAGAAACACCTGTTTTGCAAGAGAGAGACAGAAACAGAACTCCTAATGTTCTTTGTTTAGGCCAGAAAGGACTAACAGGAGCTACTTATACAATTAGCATTCACTTATTGAAAGACAACTAGAACCTGTTCTAAGAACACAGAACGGAAAAAATAATCTTCCTGAAAAGTTCATTCAGTCCCCTAAAGCCAAAGTATCTGATTATGAAACTATAACATTCAATTCATGAAACATCCCCCCAATGGCAAATGACAGTTTTTATATCTTGTAGTAAGCAGACAAGAGCAATGAAATGTGATGCCCTCAGACACCCCGCTGGCTTTACGCTTATATAAAGTCCTCATTTGTGTTCTCTGGCAGCTGTATTTCTTTCTTGAAAGACACGGCTCCTGTTGGCTTGACTTAGATTTTTTTCATCTCTCCTTAAAGTGTGAGTGGTACAAACAAGTGAAAAAGAGGACCAGACCAGAAAGTCGTCAAGTGTGAAACTGAACCTTTAGCCAATCACCAAAAATACTGTCTTTGTGTCTCAGCAAAGTTCCATTAACTTTTGTTTATTTCTGGGTACCACAGTAGTTCTTCTTGATTATATCTAGCCTCAGCTGTGGACGTAATAGAGCTGTCTTATGAATCAATTAGCACATGCGGAAACTGTTCAACAATAACAAAAGTTATAAGCACCTGAGCTTGAGAATGTTTATCTCATCTGTACCTTAAATTATAGAAATTCAGCCATCCTTATTGCAGATGGCTTGATTTCTAAGAACTGTTAAAAGCTAAGCATCAGAACAAATGAACAGAAACTCTGCTACTATTTTGTTTTTTTATAAAACTAATTCTCACATGGAATGGCATAAGAAAATCAAAAAGTCAAATCAGAAAGTCAAAAGGAACTTTTTTTCTAATCTACAAAGACCTTGTTGGTGAATTTGTGCAATCAGTTTTTAATTCATTCCATGCAGTACTATTTCTCTCTTTGTAATAGCTGATCCTCAATATTGAGAACTATGATCCTTATCTTTAATATGGTGTTTCTAAGGTGGAATAAACTACACAGGCAAATCATCCGAGAAAGTGCCTAGCACAGCTCTTGGCCCATGGTTTATTGGTCTCTTCTATTTTAAAAAATTTTATTCAACTTAACATATTCTTGACTAATACTGTGTTTCACGCAGCTACTGATCCTTTTTGCAATAGATTGCTCAACACCAACAACTTATACAAGCTCAATAAAAATAGACTATTTCACATATCAAAATAAGGAAGTTCCGCTTTAGGGCAACTTACAATTGGACAATGAAAACTCTTTTTCAATCAGTCATAATTTTCATAAGCAGTGATGTATAATACAAATGTTAATATATAAAAAAATGAAACCTGAGTTGGTAGAAATGAAGAATATAAATTAGTTATGATTGATGATGTTCATCTGCTTTTTCTGAGATATGATCCATTCTCCCATATGCCATATGACCCTATTATAGGATACCAGGCAAGCACGCGCACGCACACAAACAGACACACACACACACCTATGTAAACAACAATATAAACAACTGTTTTCTCAGTGTGATATACAATACATAGCACACTGTTGGCCTTCATAAATATTAACTAATAATAATTTACATGTTGCCTTACTTAGAAAGTAAATACTACCTCATTTTAAAAGATCTTAGTTTTTCATCTGTGTTTGGGACCATATCCTGAATGTGTAGTTCTAGTTTCTAATGATATACTTTATGGTGCCAGTTTAATAAATGAAATAATTACCCAGACTTCCAGTGTCACATCAGAGCAGTGGTGAAGAGGCAGGCTTTCCTATTCAGCAGTTAGTGTAACAAGGGCAATTACACAGGTAGGAATCCCAGGAGAGCAGCCTGTTACACTGCTATAGAAAATCAGTTTGCTGCTTCTTATTTTTCTCCTGATGTTGACCCCTCCTGTTGGAAAACATGTAGATAAACTTGACGTCTTTCCTTTCCTCGCTCCATGATATTCAGCTTGAAAAAAAAAATTTTTAAATGTGATCTCATTTTAAAGAAAGAGATTATCTTGCTACATTTCAAATGGCTTTACATCAGCCTTCAGTAGCCATAGGCTGCTCAGGCATACATTTTATCACAGATGTCTCAAACTGTTTTCCTTTTATTGTAAGAACACATTCATACTGGTGACACATCCCCATGTGCAATTCTTGGTGTGTTAGTTTACCTGAGACTTTCCCTCTCTCAAGAATGTATACTGTAGCCCAAGTGAGTGATCAACTCATTACCATCACTGCTCCCTGCTGAGGCTGGGGACTTCTTCACTCCCTGCCCTGTCTGGTTCCAGGCTAGTTTGCCAAAAAGAGAAACTCAAGTAAGATTCAGAAGGCAAGGAGGAAGCCATTATCCTTGGGAGATCTCCAGAGGCCACAGCCTTAAAGACCACCACACCAGCTCCCACTGTGCAGGCCCAGAGAGGCCAGACATGACAAGATCCTTGGTTTCACCACAAGCTCAGTTTTCCCAGCCATTCCAGTGCTTTGAACTGAAATCATTGGCGATTGTTTCTTCAAACCTGTATCTACAGAACATCCAGCACCTACCATATTTGTAGAAACTTTAATTTCTATATTGAATCTTTTATTCCTAGAATAGTTTTAGGGACTATTTTCCTGTCTGAACTCTGACTGACCAAACCCAGAGAGATTGATATTACAGGGTATAACCTCATATCTGCCCTGATTTGTGAAAAGAAATAAATTAATCACAAACTGTAGCACTTCACTGTTAATAAGAATACTTGAGTTACATTGCATGAATGAATATGAAAATGTTATGTATTGTGACACTGGTTAAGAAACCCTTGCTATATTATTATTGTTGTTAGTACTGCTCTTCCATTGCTGCTTAAATTCCCTATGTAACAATAGCATGGATATATGACTTATTGTTCACTCAAGCAGTAATAAATGGGTAATTATCCATGGATATTATATGTAAACGTTTAATGATAATACATGAGTAATTATGCATGGATATTATATATAAATATTTAATAAAAACATTTAATACTAAGACTTTAACACAGATACAAATTTACCTGCCAGAGGGACATATAACACACTCCTTAGTTTTCTACTTATTTATGGTAACATTTTGTGAATCCTGAAGTCCTGCACAGTGACCCACTTTGTTTCATTTAGCCAGTAAAGAAAAAATTTCCCTTCCTCATCCCTACCCCTATCATTACTTTGTATTAATTCTTCTGCTTTTGTCAGAAATTTTCTGTATAAAAACAATTGTTGATTCTCTGCCAAGCAGTGGAAAAATAAGGGCTTTGAGTGAAAAAACCTGTGATTGAATCCACCCTTTACTAGATACTAAGGTGCACTACTTGAACTTTTTGGCCCTCAATATGTGTACATATAAAGTAAGAGAGATAATTCCACATGTAAAAGTATATGACAAAGATAAATAATATAAAGGCTCAACAATGTGTCTACCACATCACAGGGCTTCAACAAATGCTTGTTTACTGGGCAAGGCTGGACTGCTCTAAACTTCAGCTTCCTCAGCTGTGAAAGGACGCATTAATTATACTAACTCAGGAAGATGTTGTGAGATGAAATGAGTTTACACTTACCATCCAGCCTGAAAAAGAAGTGAGCTGATGGTTAATCAACCTGCCGCTGATCTTGTTAATCCCTGACAAGAGAAATGCTTTGTGAGTTTCTCAGAGACAACTCTTTTAACCAATCTTAAGGTTATTCAATAAATATTCAGTTTCTCAAAATTGCATTGAATATCTAGAAAATCTTCCCTGACCCTGACCCTGCAGTCACCCTTGCTGCTCTGCTAAGGCCTTAGTGTACATACTGTTGACTTTTTAATTCCAGCTGTGTTAAGGCTTTTTTAAACTTCACTCAACATCTGTGATCATGACTTTTATGTGTCCACTTGGCTATTTATTCAATCAAACACTAGTTACTGTTGTGAAGGTATATTTTTTTAGCAATGTTTAATATCTACAGTAAATTGACTTTAAATATAGGAAATTATCCTTGATCATCTAGGTTGGCCTCAGTCAAGCCACTGAATGACTTTACGAGCAAAACTGAGGCTTCCCAGAGAAAGAAGTGAACTGCAGTGTCAGCTTCTGCCTGACAGTTTCCAGACCGCTGGCCTTCAGATTACAGAGTTGCCTAGCCAGGCCCCCAGAATTACAGAAGCCAGTTTCTGGCAATAAATCTCTTTATATAACCCTGCTTCCACTAGGGTTTTCTTGTAGAACTCGAATACAACATCCTAATGCCCATATTAATATAATTTGCCTATGACATCCTAATGCCCATATTAATATAATTTGCCTTCTGTCTCACTAATTGCAATTCGTAGGAATAGTTTTGTCTATCATGACTTTGATGATTAGCTTTGAATAATATGTATCTCAAGACTAATAGAATAATGAAGACTAAGTCATTGTGATCCTTTATTTTACCAATAAATTTGGCTTGTTTCACAAAATGTCACTTAGATTGGTGATATTTCCCTTGTCGCACTCTAATCCCACTACCCCCATTCCAGGCTAAGAAAAAAAAATAGATGAATTTAAATTGTAGAGTTAGTTATTAGATGCTAAAGAAAATATGTGCTGAATATTAATAAATACAAGCAATAAAATCAAGTGTTCACAAAACAAACCAAATTATGGGTGGTCTGATAAGGAAAAAGATAAAGCTACTGATATAGATTAAAAACAAATTTACATTACTTGAATATGTAGACTATTTCATGAAGCTACTTACAGTCATTACTAGAAAAACAGTAATTTATAAAACTGCATATTCTGAAAAATTTAAAGATAGGGATAAAAGCCAACAGTGAAATTTTTTTATTGGTCTCAAAACTTCTTACTTCATGTCTATGCTGCTATAGCACTGACAGGTTGTTCCTTAATGAGGTTAAATGTTAATGTAACTGATATTTATAGATTATTCTATTAGGAACAATCATCATTGAATGTCTACCTAATACATCCTAGGAAATATGAGTTCGCTTATCTTAGGATTTTCATAATAACAACCCTATATCTGTAAAGAACAAGGATCTACAGCCTTTAAGGTAGTTTCTTTTATTTTGTTTTGCTACTTGTCTTCACATGCCTGACTCTGACATCCTCTTTTTCTTCCTACATCTCATTTCTCTTTATATCCATCATTGGGTGCGCTCTCTCTCTCTCCCCGTCCCTACCCCCCTCCCCCGCCCCTTTCTCTGTCTCTCTCTCTCAGTGCTATCTACTCAATGTTTCTCCCTAAAATCCCTATGTTGAAACCAAATCCCCAGTGTGATGGTAGTAGGCAGTGGGTCCTTTGTGAGATGATTATGTCATGAAAACAGAGCCCTCATGAACGGAACTAGCTCCCTTCTAAGAGAGACCCCAAATAATCCCCTCACCCCTTCTACCATGTAAGGACACAGTAAAAAGATGGCCATCTATGAACCAGAAAGTAAGTCTTCATCAGACATTGAATCTGCCCACTCCTAGATCTTTGGCTTCATAGTCTTCAGAACCATAAGAAATAAATTTTTGTTGCTTTTGAGCCACCTGGTCTATGGTATTTTTGGATGGACTAAGACACTCCATTTACATCTTTCTCTTCTGACTTCAATTTCCTTCTCTTCTTTTATTCTGTCACTGCCCTTTCAAAATGGTGTCACAAGCATCCTCATCATCTTTCTCTAAGCAGATGATGAACCCCAGAGTGAAGACTGATTTTATCACAACAAGCATTTCTCTCAGCACTCAGGACCATAGCTTGTACATATGCATTTGTTGGTTTTATGTGGAAGCACTGCTTTTGTTTAGTTCTACCTAGTTTTGAAACATACTTCCTCTTTCAGGAGAATTCCATGTTTCCTTATTATTAAAGTTGTAAGCACACAAATTTGACTCACCAACTGGCCACAGCTTCAGGGTTTTAGACTCCAGAAAAAATCTGCACACTGAGAGAGTTCAATTCCCTCATTGTGATGGGAAGACACAATAATAAGATACACATTTGGTATCCTAAGTAATCATGACTTGTTTGATTCTGTGTTCTCTTTACAGAGTTCGGTTCTCCAGACATTCCATGAATTCTGTGAGCTATGCAAGATCTTTCTGATGTATACCTTTTTTGCTCAACTTAACCATTATTGTTTCTGTTGTCTGCAATCAAGAACACTGTCTGCCCAGCATATTTTTAAAGTGTTCCATTACTTTGTGTGTTGTGTTGTGTTGTTTCATCTGAGGGATGTGGAGCATGGAGGGTGGGCAGGGATGGTGTCAGGTAGTTGAAAGACTTCTTTAGGTTTTGATATCCTGACAAAGAGAACTGTATCACATGAATGCTCAATAAACGGTGACAACTCTATAATTGATTGAGATTCTATGAACCTTCCCAGTGGATTCTGCTAAAAGGATGATGAAAAATATTACTAATACCACTTTTCCAGTGGCTCCCTGAGATAGAATGTATAAGTTACTATTTGTGCTTTTGAAGTAGGAAAAAGTCCTCAACATAGCTGAGAAGGATGTCAACTTAAAAATGAGTGAAAAACCTATGAAGCACTTATAATACTTTGAAGAAAAGTATAATAATGACAGGTTCTCATGCTGTTAGTCATTCATTAAAAAGTTATAAGAATTATTCTTTCTATCATAAACTTAAGTGACTAGGCCATAAAATGTAGAACATAAAGAAAATCATAAAATAGAAATAACTTGTAACCACAGGATTTAAAGTATAGAGTTAACATTTTATATAACCAGTAAAATTTTTCTAAAGGTAACAATATTTCTTTGCTATTCTGGTGAATGTTGTTTAAGTTCATAGTTTTTATTTATGCAGAAATTTACTTGATGTCCAAGTATTATGAATCTAGAAGCCAAATTACAACTGTTGGGGATGAGTAACTATTAGTTAGCCTCCTTTGGTCAGTGCTTAGTGCTCTTGGAAAAGTGAATGGCAAGACGACAAAGTTTGTGGATATGGAGGAGTGAGTTCTGTCTTGGGGCATGAACATATTTCATTTCGGAGGTTAGTGTAGAGGTGAAGCAAAAGGAAGGTGTTACATCACAAATTGTTCCAAAATTTGACTTTTATCCTGAAGTTGGTAGAAATCTTTAGAAGCATTCAAAGCAAGAGAATGAGTTAATTATATCTTCTTCCTTGAAATCTCATTTATCAGCAATTTGAAAGAAGATTTTGGGGGTTGAGCAAGACCATAAGCAAATTACTCCATTATAATAGTCTAGTAGCAATGCTAAGACTATAAATAAAAGCAATGACAGTGCCATGGAGAAAGAACAAAGCCTACAGAATCACTGAGTGAAAAAAAAAACAAGAAAATTTGCTGATTATTTGGATATGAAGGTATGGAGTAAGAAAGGCCACCTTACTAAAGCCACATGTTTGGCTCCCCTGTCCTTAACTGACAAAGCAAAAGGAAGCTGCCTTAACATTCACTCTAAAATTCACTCTTTAGTCAAATCCATGAATAATGAGGCTTGGAGGAAAAGGTGGTGGTTAAATTTACATGGTCATCTAACTTGTTCTTTCCTGGTAATTTATAGATTCAATGTTATTCCCATCAAACCACCATTGACATTTTTCACAGAGTTAGAATAAACTCTTTTAAATTTTGTATGGAATCAAAGAAGACCCTGTATAGCCAAGACAATCCTAAGCAAAAAGAACAAAGCTGGAGGCATCACACTATCTGACTTCCAAGTATACTACAAGACTACAGTAAGTAAAACAGCATGGTACTGGTACCAAAACAGACAAAGAATTGACAATAAAGCTCATTTCAGAGTCTTTTAGTTTTAAGTGGAAATTCATAAAAAGAGAACTAAGAGATGTGAAAAATTGATTGAATTTTATAAAACAATATATGAGCTAAAATAAAAATTTCATATTATAAAAGAATTACTTTCAGTAACTTAAGAGGGGAAATTAAAATATCTGATTATTTAATACCTTGCCAGGTAGAAAAAATGTAAACACACTACACTGACAGGGTATAAATAGAAAATATATTCAACATCTGTTTAACCTCAATTGAAGGAAATTTCTTTGAAAGTAATTTTAATGCCCTTGATATTGTTTCATATTACTGAGGGGCTCAATTTCCACTGTATATAACTGCCTATTTAAAGTGCCTCATAGCTTTACATAGGGATTGAATTTACAAAAAAAAAAAAAAAATCAATAGATATAAAAACTTGGCTTAGAAAGCTATGATTTGGATATTTGTCCACACCAAACCTCATGCTGAAATTTCATCTCCAGTGTTCGAAGTAGGGCCTAGTAGGAGGTATATGAGCGATGTGTGCAGATCCCTTACCAATAAATTAGTGTCCACCCTAAAGAGTAAATGAGTTCTTACTCTATTCTTTCTAAAAGAGCTCGTTGTTATAAAGAGCCTGGCATCTCCTCTGTATTTCTCTCTTGCTTCCTCTTTTGCCATGGCATCTCTACACACACCAGCTCCCCTTCACTTTCCACCACGAGTGGAAGCTGCCTGAGGACTTCAGATGTAGATGCCTAGTCTTGAGCTTTTCCAGACATTCTCATTGTGAGCCAAATAAACCTTTTTGTAAATTTATAAATTTCCCAGCTTCAAGCATTCTTTTATAGCAACACAAAACATGCTAAGACATCA